AAGCAGGCTCCTCGTGAGTGGCACAACAAGGTGAAGGAAGTTCTCCTCGCACTTGACTTCCATCCCTCTGCCTCAGATTCCAGTCTCTTCGTTCGTCACTCCTCCGAGCCCTTCTACATCCTCGTCTACGTCAACGACTTCATTCTAGCCGCCAGAGATCCAGCCGACATGGCAGCTGTCCAGTCTGCTCTCAGCTCCGCCCTTCTCATGAAGGATCTTGGTGACCTCAAGAACTACCTGGGGATGGAGATCACTCGTGACCGCCAGGCTTGCACGATCACCCTCTCCCAGGAGTCCTACATCGACAACCTTCTCAAGCGGTTCGACATGGACTCCAGTAACTCTGTCTCCACTCCACTCCCACTACAGCATCAGCTCACGGCCCCTCCAGTTCCTTCTCCTGACGCCTGCAAGGACCCGTACCCTGAGCTAGTCGGTTCACTCATGTATGCCATGATGTGCACTCGACCAGACTTGGCTTACCCGGTTAGTGTCCTCTCTCGGTACGTCTCCCCCGGACGCTACACTGCCTCGCATTGGTCTGCAGCCAAGAGGGTCCTCCGCTATCTACAAGCCACCAAGTCTCACATCCTCACTCTTGGTGGTACCTCTCCAGTCAAGCTCGAGGGTTACACAGACTCCTCATGGGCCGATGACCAGACTGACAGACGCTCCTCCCAAGGGTACTGCTTCACCCTTGGTAGCGGAGTCATCAGCTGGCGCTCCACTCGGTCCTCTGCAGTCTCCCTGTCGTCCTGCGAGGCCGAGCTCTACGCGGGCACAATGGCTGCTCAAGAGGCACGCAGGCTCTCCTATCTCCTCGCTGAGTTAGGCTACCCCCAGCAGTCGCCCAACCTGTGGTGTGACAACCAGAGTGCCATTCATCTCACCAAGGATCCTATGTTCCACTCTCGCACCAAGCACAAAGCACCAAGCAGCTCCACCACCGAGCCAAGACAGTCCGCGAGACCGACGAGCTGCTGCCAACGACCATACTGCAGGCCGTCCCTTGCGCGGCGCATCCGTGGAATCTGTGGAGGGGGGAAGCGTCGCACCCGCACACCACGAGGAAGCCCCACTGGTGACGCGATGGCGCTTGGAAGCAGCTCGCGAAACCGAGGGTCAGGCAGGATGCCCCGACGAGACCCCCTCGATGCCGCGCCACGTGTCGCCGGAGCGGGCCGTTGACCACCACGCGCAGTCCCAGCAGTCACCGTTGATGCCACAGGGTTTGGCGCTTCCCACACACACCGATGGCTGCGTGGCGAGCGCAAGAGATCAATTATTGGCACCGGGGACAACGGCACTGGCGCCCACGGAGGAGGAGGCCGACGGCCAGGCACCAGCAAGGGGAGAGAAGTGCACGGGGGGGAATACGGATGGAGGGGACATCACCCCCGGTAGGAGGAGGCGGGGTGACCGAACACCGGATGGAGAAGGCGGCTGGTCCCCAGGCGAGAGGCGGAGCCGGTCCCTTGGAACGAGTGCGACTAGAGACCGGAGACGAAGGCGGCTGCGGTGGGACCGGAGGGACTGGGCGCCTCCGATAGGAGACTGGTGAGCCGGGCTCGACGCGCGGGGAAGGCGGAGCAGGAGGAGGTGCCGCTGCGGAGGATACTGGGGAGGCCGGGTGAGACACGCCGGACGGAGAAGGCCCCGGAAAAGGGGCAGCGGCCGGAGGTGGGGCATCGAAGTCTGCCCAAACAAGCATCGGGGGAGGTGGAGGAGGCTCACCCGTGGTCGCAGAGTTGAATGGGCGTGTCTCATCGAAGACGACATCACGGCTGCGAATCAGCTGTCTGGTGATTGGGTTGAGGAATAAGTAGTCTGGGGAGTCGGAGTTGTGCCCCAGGTACATGCAGGTCTGGGTTTTGGGACCAAGCTTGCCACCTTGCTTCCTGCGCGTGTGGGGGCTTAGCAACACATACGCGGTACACCCCCAGACGCGTAGAGAGCGGGCGGAAGGCGTGACCCCAAGCCAGAGAGCGGTAGGTGTGGTGTCGGGCCGGTGGGGATGCGGATAAAGATTGTAGAGGAGTGCCGCATGGAAGAGGGCATATCCCCAGAGTGACCGTGGTGCGTTGGCGTGACTGAGGAGGCAGCGAGAGATCTGAACCAAGGTGTGGTTGCGGCTCTCTGCAATGCCGTTCTGCTTCGGGCTTTCGGGGAGCGTGAAGGTTTGCCAAATCCCTTGGGCCGCACAGAAGTTATCGAGTTTGCCATTGCGAAATTCTCCCCCGCCATCAGAATGGAGGCACTTCAGAGGAGTGCGGAACGTGACTTGAGCCTGGCGCACCCACGCCATGATGACATCAGGTGCCTCCGCCTTGGTATGCACGAGGTGCACAGAAACATGCCGCGAGTGGTCATCGACTAGTGTAAGAAAGTACCGATGACCGCCTCGGGATGCGACTGGAGCTGGGCCCCGAGCTAGGTCCAGCGGAGCAGCTGCGACGGATGGGGAGGAAGGGTGCGGCTGCTGCCTGGGCTTGCTCTTGGT